ATGAATAATACTTCCTTACTGATTTTTTTTGCTCTGTAATTTAGTGCATATGCGATCTCCTGAACACATGATACAGTGCGATTTCATATTCTCTTTCCACGAGTGCTGGTACCTCTACAGATTCTTTACTTGTACGCCATTTGTCCCGACCAACTTTATGCTGCGGTCCGCGCGGTATTTTGACTGTCATCACTCAGTACGGTCCCTTTTACTGTCCCTTAATCATGACCAGCACAGGAGCCTTCGCAACCTCTATACCTAAAGAACTTCAACTGAATCCAGTCAATCGCATTCCACTGGGAACCCCAAAAGATGACTGATGTTTCGGCCGTCAAACGTCACCGTTTGGACCGGGTCTATCTAAACCCGTCCAATCCGAATGAACTAACAACGTTCCGCAAACAAAAATGTACCTTTTCAGTGAGCTACTGAGCGAGGTGGGGTAGGGTGGGCTGCTCATCCCCTACCCCGCCTAACCGCAATCGTTGATCGAGCGTGCTTCATAGATGTGGATGAAAGAACTCAGTAATAATTGATCTCTGTTGTTCGGGTAAGGAAGTGAATCACGTCAAAACTTATCCACAAATCGGTCAACATACTCAGGCGTGAATGTTAGGATGAATCGTATAAGTGGATTCAGTCTAGGACATCAATATGCTAGTGAGTAAATTCCATTGGGACCGTGATTACCTCAAATAATACCAATTCCTTTATATCAAATACGATTGCCTTCGAAGTTCTGATATTGAAAGGTACGCTTGAGGAGATACGTAACAGTGGTACAAGGATACAGTGAAAGAATTACCGGTATTCCGCCTGAATAGGAAGATCAAATTCGAATATATTCTCTGGCCAACAGAAATCACATTCTCCTCTTTCATATCCGGAATGATTATTACATTCAATTCACAACGCCAATGGCAACAATCTGTCCCATGTAGCCTTTCCCTTCGCCCCTCAGCTTCATCGTACAGGTTCTTCTCCTTATTGTATCATTAAAGAAACCCGTCGCAACTTTTCACATGCAGTTTGCATCCGCTCGATCCGGATAGTTGAGTAAATGAGACAGGCGATGATAAGAATGAGTTCCAGTTACCGATTATCCCACAAACGACAACTCTACTAGATGCTCCATGGGTATTAGGTTGAGACAGGCAAAGGATTCTACCCAGGGTTGGTGCACGATTTTTTTTCTGCTTGAGAAACAGCTGCCTTCACTGATAAATTCATGTAGATTCCGGGAAATATATTACATATTTGCATCCGCGGTGCCACAAAATGTCGGTAAGAGGGAAGGTATAGTGGCACCGTGGATGCCACTTTGCAACATACTTCCCAGATGACTGGTACTGTGAAAGATTGCGTAAACGAGCTATCCACCACGATGGTCGAAAGCAGTGATATTTTTTCTTCTATGAACTGAGCAGAGCTGGGCGATTGAAAACGCGAACCTTTTCACATTATCGCTCAACTTCTCTGGCGTCTTCCGGATTATATCTATTCCACCAAGCCGGTTTGCAGAGAATTGTGCACTTTTACACGGATAAACTTACCAGTTTCTATTTCAACGGATAGAGAAAGTTGATTTGTTCGCACGATTCATCGGGTATAGCACCAACAGTTTGTTAGTGTTATATCAGTTGGAACACTGCTGTTACCGTGGCCCTAAGAGTGATTGGTCTATATTCCTACGTGACATCTTTTACATTCTCTCATTTTCCTCAGTTAATCTATTTTTCGCACTCTTTCACACCTGTTTTATTTATTTTTTATTTCATTCATTTTGGAAATATTGTTATATGAAAGCGATGGATGTATTTATTGTGTCATGGGACACCTATTTCTCATATGAGTATCAGTTAAGCAAAGTAATCTACCAAGAAATATCACGTTTTTGAACAATTAGCCCCTCAGTTGCAATGTTTCTCTTTATCATAGCAACTACAATACAGTTGCTTATTAATAACAATAGACAAATGTTCCCAACAAAATCTGTTTTATGGTTTCCAGTTTATTTTTTTCATACAGACCAGATATTGCGTCACCCCGGTTATTGGATCAATGATATCCAAATAAGTCGGATTGCTCATTAAAATAAAGCAACCACATTTTCTTTCATTCCATCTACATAATCGAAATGAGAAATTTGTCGAATTTATTTGATCTCATTATGGGGGCAACCACGGCCGTGCTTAATAACCTACATGGAGCATCTAGTAGAGTTGTCGTTTGTGGGATAATCGGTAACTGGAACTCATTCTTATCATCGCCTGTCTCATTTACTCAACTATCCGGATCGAGCGGATGCAAACTGCATGTGAAAAGTTGCGACGGGTTTCTTTAATGATACAATAAGGAGAAGAACCTGTACGATGAAGCTGAGGGGCGAAGGGAAAGGCTACATGGGACAGATTGTTGCCATTGGCGTTGTGAATTGAATGTAATAATCATTCCGGATATGAAAGAGGAGAATGTGATTTCTGTTGGCCAGAGAATATATTCGAATTTGATCTTCCTATTCAGGCGGAATACCGGTAATTCTTTCACTGTATCCTTGTACCACTGTTACGTATCTCCTCAAGCGTACCTTTCAATATCAGAACTTCGAAGGCAATCGTATTTGATATAAAGGAATTGGTATTATTTGAGGTAATCACGGTCCCAATGGAATTTACTCACTAGCATATTGAGGGCCTTGAAGTTACAGCCAAACCTTTTCAAGTTATAGGTTTCGGCATATTTTCACATGGGACTCTAATAACCAGGTTCCTTTCACTGCCTCTAAGAAATACATTGTTTCCATTTAACTTAGGCACGACATTCGCTTATATGTCGACACCGTGTTCCAAGCTTGTGTCTCTCTCTTTTGGTGCCAGTGAAATCTGTTTATTGTTATTCCGTCCAAGATGCCTGTTCATTGAAACAAGCCTTTTACTACTTTAAAAACCATCACATATTGTCCTTTTCTCTCGTCCTCGTGTACAACTTGAAGCGACTCACCTTATCCGAAACTTTACTTCGAAAATCCACCTTGTAGTCGCTTGACTGTTCATGTCTCCGATGCCACTTCTGATACCATTCCGCTCAAATTTCCAGTCAAGCCGAGGGTCCTCATGAAGTATCTATTTACTTCTAGATATTCCACTACTGAATTTCAATCACCGTCATATTTAAGGGCCGAATCCGCTCGATGCCTGCTTTTACATTGAATCAGTCCACCAGATCACACCTTATCAGATGTGGTCTAGTTAACTGTCCCCAAATAATTGTGGGGATATTACAGCAGAAGTAGAAGGAATGTTCAGATTCGAGATGACTGCGATGTCATTCCCGTTAATTTATAGACGCTACTGTTAGGAAGAGACAATCACCAACTCAACTGGAGTATTGATTCACAGAGCCCTCTCTGGGTTTTACGTTATCCCTCTTCCGGATAGAATACAGAAAAATCCGGCGGTTTAAACAGATTTTGGATGGTGCTCAAAAGTAATTAGCGCACCGCAGAACCTGATTTCGGAATTCTGACATCAACCCACTATTTCTGTGGTGAAATTCACGACCGTTCGATGGCCGAACATTAGGTTTTCATGGCTACCGGGCTCCTCTGTTTTCACGTTGATCACGCAGTTTATTAAGTAAAAAGAGTGATGATTGGCGGCTCCAATGAGCAACATCAAGCGATATACCGACGCATCAGTATTCTCGGGGCTCCGACAAGTTATTTTCTGAAGGGGTCAAGTTGGATTCGATTTTACTACCACTAGGTCGAAACGACTGAAGAATTTAGTCACAATATTAAACCTTTAATGTTGATATTTCGACTTGAGCTTTTCAGAATATCCACTCTTTTGGGGAATAGGAGTTACGGATGCACCTATATACTAAGAATCAAATAGTCTTATCTAGTCCCGATTCTTGTTATTCCGTTTTGTTTATCTGTACGCCGGGAAAGAAAAGAGGAAATAGGTGAGCGTGTATGCGCGCATGCATGCACGTAAGGGTCATATGAGGAGAGTTGAGAGAGGAGGGAGCAGTCCCATCGGTGATACCACAAGGTCAAGTCACGCGAACAAGGTAGTAGTAGTAGTACTAGTGGTAGTAGTAATAGTAGAAGCATTAAAGCAATGTTTCCCGGGGATAAATAAAAACCCGAAAGAGTGAGAAAAGTGGATCTGTACAAATAGGGTGATGGGTGGAAAACAGAACTAATAATATTAATAATAATAATGATAATCGTGTGCAATCACACACAGACACATGAGGTCAGAGAAAATGTGCGGTTCCATAAAAGAGGTGTGTGTCTGAGAATGTGAGTTTGAATTCTGACTGGTATATCCGATTATACAGGCAGTATTGATAATGAACAGGAAGTAACAGCATACATACAACAGAAAGAGGGAACCGCTGCTACAAATGATAGGACCAGTCAACAGATGTGAGAGACAAACAACCACACTCGGCCCGTAAATCGGTTGTGTTCGATGGGGACGGGGAAAGGCCACTCGCGGGGAAAGCTAAAGCAATAATTTCAAATCCGCATCTCCACTTTTTTCAGTTCCATCAAAAGTGATCTTTACACATAGAAAAAAACAACAACAATGCAAACAGGATCGATGAGTACGAAAAAAACACGTCGCGCTAAAGGAATTTACGCGAGTCATGTGGTGCCCGGGCGATAGGGGGAGGGGGGTAAAGCGCCCGCGCAAGTCTCGTGCATTAACCACAATGGATATGATACAAGAAGTGGAGTGGTGTGTGCTTGTATGCAGACGGACGGATTGTACTGTACAGAGGACGAAACGTGATTTGCACAGTTGTATAATAACGATGATGAAACCAGGGAGCCAAAGCGGGCAGGTAAAATGAGGTAACATCGCCAAGATCTGTGTTCAAGTGCAAACGAACCGGGAAGATCAGACGAGACAGGGACAGGAAAAAGTGGAAGATAGACTCGTGGAAAAACTGGGAGATGACAATGACGACAAGGGAACTAAGGGCTTTCACGTTGCCTTCTCCGTGTTTACTTCAATGTTCAAAGCTCCGGACGATTTTGTGCATTCCGCGTCCGCATCGTGGACTAAGTAAACCGGACCGGGAACACATATCACGGGACAATCGGCATCTGTGGTATGCGAAGAGACAGAGGATCGATTGGAATGAGCAGGTGAACAATCCCCAGTCGAACGAGGCGTGTCCACCTTATCCCGTTGTGAGGCCACAGACACTCTGTCTAACATCACTGCCCGGGGACTGTCGCGGAACGAATCAACCGGATGATCGGCATCTGAAGTCGACTCAGAGTCCGAACAAATGTTCTCAGTCATAACGAAGTCAGTATTGACCAGTGCTTGAGCACCACCTTCTTGGTCACGTTTCGATTTCATTGCGTGCCAGATCGAAAGCAACTGTGTTGTGGGTAGCAAATTGCGAAATTCTGCCAACGTGGCACTTAAACCGGATGGAACTGGGCCACCAGATCCGAATACGCTGGAGGACACACCGGGAGGATGATGTCCTGGTCGGGGCAGAGAAGATGAGTGATAGAATATGGGGGAAATAGAGGCGAGTCCCGACGATTCAGTGTGATGCGGCAACGGTGGTTTCAACAGGTCCAGAGCGGTTTGTGCAAGACTATCGGGTCCGTCGTCCAATAGTTTGTGTTGCAGGGCATAGTCAATCAGCACGCGATAGCAAAACACATACTGGGCGGCAACTTGAACACAACCGCAACGTTGTGACCGTACGCGACTGACTGTCAGCGGGATATTGATGAGTTTGGCAGTATTGGTCGAATCGATAAGCCATTTCGTACAGATGTCCGCGGTCACATAGGTACCTGTCAGAGAACAAAAGATGCACAGTTATAAGCAAGGCATTTGATAAGCTATAGTTTTATATTTTCAAAGAGCGTTTATCAGATCTTAAGGATGGGAAGAATTGAGCATGAAAACGATAATGATCCATCCTAATAATCAAAAGACTTAAATGAATTGGAACAACGACAATCTTTCGAACATGTGGCATTATGGTCAGTATACAAATGGTATCATTTTATTGAAACAAATAAACCCAAACTGAAATGGTCCAGAACATAAATCATGTAATGTCAGGACACAGGCGTTTTTCTCAAAATAAGCGGAGTACGAAGCATCAACCTGGGTTGGTTGTCACGTTATAGGTGAAGTCAGATCAGCGGAGCAGAACTGGACGCAATACTACTGTTTACTTGCTGAGACCTTCTTAAGTGTATCGACACATTAAGTCTCGGAGTTGGTTTGAGTTGCTCACGTATTGGATTTGCGCACGTATAGTATATCGTTTCACACTATCACATGCACGCTCTCAGATTGTTTTCATCGGAATTCGCGATCGTAATCGCAACATTGAGCAGGTGAATCTTGAATATGAATCTACTCTCCTCGCTTTAGATAACTTCCTGCGGCTAAATTGTCCTCTTCAAGCAATCTTGCATATCTTCCTTTCCCCCTCAATTTACATTTAGTTTGTATTGTTTTGGTTCAGAGCTGGTGCCAATACATGGGGCTTTGATGATCGCTGGGCACTAATGATCTTTCCACTCAGTCATGATGTGTACAGCCATGAATTTCAGTCGTACATAAATCCCTTTGTTAAAACCAATCTTTGCGTGCTTTAACATAACCTCAACAGTTCCGCTCATCCTGTGTGAGATCTTTCACTGCGCAGTGAACCTATTCCGCAATCATACTCCAACAATCAGATCATTGTCCAAGGTGATTACCATTCCAATACTTCCTGCTAACTCAGCCATACTCATGATCCATGGTATGCTTGCACTCGGGCTTAATTCAGATATTAGTGCCATGGCTGCAAGGGTCCATGAAAATGGATTCGTTCAAAGATTTTGTACACCTGTATCTGGAAAACTTAATCCCTAAAACCGCAATCTACATTTCGAGTCCCATTTATTTTACCGTTTTACAGCCTTAGTATGGTTGGGGGTGCATGTTTTGGGTTGTGGCTGGTCGCTCTTCCCTTGCACCTCACGAAATGCTCCCATACGACCAAGCGTCTGCTGAGGAAGCCGTACCCACTGCCTTCATGTGGTAGTGTTTTCCATTGAAGTGCGAGAACGAAAAGCCGATATCCGGGGCTATAACCGGTGTGGTGAACCACTGGTAGTTCACCTAGGGGAGTTGGCCAAAAACCCTGTTAGGACGGAGCGGACAAAATCCGTCCTGCCACGCAGCGACCCGCGTCACATCACAAGTGCGTTCGTGACGCCCAAGCCGAATCGACTGCTGATTGGATGACTAAGGAGAATCAAATAGCTGTCGTCCGATCGACCGAGCCTGAATCTCCTTGGTCTTGATTGGATCGAGAAGTTCGGATTATTCGATATTCCCGTGAACGAGGTGTGCCATCATGCCTGCAGACAGAACGACATAAACCACATCAGCTCCCCGCATTTTTATCCTTCCAGGTGTCGATCTTACGTCTTGGTATAAGACATAACACCCTGATTCGAAACCAACCAAGAAGAATCGTTCGAACCACACACACACCTTCCTGGTTGGGGCAGTGGTCATCCGCTCAATGAGACATCGAGGTGGATTAGACACCTTGGACGTTTGACCCTGTTCAAAGGGCGTATGATCCGATAAACTGAACACCGGCCCCCAAAGGATTGTGGTTTTCACACACAGCCGCGCTGTCTTGCGGGTCAGACTTTGGCCAACCGAATGCTCCGATTGTGAACTCTCCAAGAGAATTCCCCTACCTTGATCTGGGCAACCTGGAGGTAGTCCGCCAACAAACATATTATGGACCGTTTTTCTTTTTATAAAAATTATTGTACCGTGATTCATTCCACATACAATCTGGCCTCAGACGTGTGTGGAATACAAGTACCAATACTCTGTTTCACATCCTATGAAGTTTGTCCACATTGAACTTGCGTCCTGAACGAAGCGATTTTTCACCGTATCTCATTTTCCCAGTTTCTATGAATACGTCCCGTCATGCGCTATTACCCGTGTCTAAGGGGGGTAGGGGGACTTCCTCTTCTCTGTTGGCCCTTTTGGATCGTTTTCAGCTTAAAATCGTTCACCTTGTTGCTGATTCATTTTTGACATCCTAAGTCTTTCACTACTAGTCCATCTCAACGCGATTACCTCGTTCGCTCTTTTCTCCACCATTATAACTGCCTGTCTTCCTCTCTACAGTTTTATTACACACTGCCATTGTGTGATGAACAGCAGAAGAGTAAAACCCATAGGCATTAAGACGGATTGTTCTTACTCGTGGGAACCAGTCCCGGGAATAGGGGTGGTGAAATAGAATATGTCTACCACCAAAACGGGGATAACGCACTTTGGTGACACATTGACTTAAACCGCTTCGCTGCCAACACCAACCTATTTATTTGATGTGATCATATACAACCATGAGCACCGAAATACCGTAGCGGTGTTGACAATCTGAAATGCTGACCCCATTTTTACTGTATAAAGATGTTACGCGTTATACCTGAAATTCAAGATCCGTCAAACGAAAAAAACAGTCAGGTTTGGTGCAATGACTAATCACCGAACAAAGAATCCAACTGCCTACTGGGAAATGTTGCAATTAGGCCTCACTGAGGAAACATTTTGTGATGTTAGCGAAACAACAGGTGCATTTTTCCACCTACATCGCATTGTTTTTCCAATGCCCAGGATAATTTGTCGCTGTTGTACAGTTGGTTACACACGTGACGGTAGACTCTAATCGTGACGCATAGCCAAGCAATTCAAGAGTGGTTGATCACAATAAGCAAAAAGGTTTGTTTACGCCACGATCAATCACAGTCCGGTCAGAATTGGCAATCATTCTGCCATCGGTTGCGGGACGGAACATAAAATGCGATTTACACGACACTATAGTTCCGTAATGTTGCACCTGGTCATTTTGATATCAGTTACGCAGCACAAAAAGTTTCCGATGTTCCTTTTTCGGCTAAGATAAGAGAAGAAACAGCGAGTAACGTACGGCTGCGGCTACAAAGAGTTTCAGTTTTTACAATCACTAACTATTCACTTTCGTGCGCCGGTTGCGGTTGCTGCCTTTTGATCGGTTACATACATCAAGAATTGATGTGTCTGTGTGGTGCTTCTCAAATGTAAACAACTGTGAACAAGGAGCTAACGAAACATTCGCGAGCAAAAAAAACTTAGACATCAAGCTAGAAACCGAAGCCGCAGACAAACAATTTGATCTAGAAACCGAAACTCGTCTCGATCCGAATTGCAGCGCGTAGATCAATTTTGCCTATACTTTATCAGAACAACCGAGAAGATGGAACTAAACACCCATGCGCGGGATCTTGAGCGTACGCCAAGTGTGCCATCTTCTGAACGGGATCAAACCGAGAATTTCGGGACCGGTTTATACCGTATAACAGCACGCGGAAGAGTAACCTTAGAATGACTTGACATTCATCAATACGGCGAACACAAATGGGAGAGGAGTCTCGGCAACCGTTAGTAGGGGTTAGCGACCGGAACAGTTTTGGATTGGCGGAGGAAGTGTATTCATATTTGCCTGGATACCCTCGGGTTAAACAGAGTTGAACGCTACCAGGAGCGTCCCCGGGTTGTGGATAGGGGAAAGCCTTCACAGAAGGTTAGATGTTAATAAGTTGTGGCATACCGCAACAAATAAGCAGTCGCAAACAAACAGCAACGACACTACAAGGGTTTGGTGAATTTCAGGCTGGTCACCTGGCTCCTGTTTGAAAGCTGCATACGCCCAATGACGACATAGTGACAAAGTTCGGTGTGACTGGTCTTTTAAAACTTCCGAGGCGAGGGATTACTTCCTGCTGCCTTGCGGTTCGCACCTGATGTGTAAAGGCCAGAGGTGCACCCTCAAAATAAAAAAATGACGTTGGAGACATCTCTTATACCAAACTTCATGATCATGATTGTCTGGAGCCGGCTTATCCTTTCCAAGGAGCCAGCCGCAGTGAAGTAAAGTAAGTACATTGTACTCGGTACACAAGAGCAATTGATGGGTTTAACCACGTAGTTTAGACCGTAATCGGAATGGGGCATAGAGTTAAGTGCAACATTATGCTAGTTTCTCAGAATACGACTTCAAAAACAGATTCCACATCAGCCGAGTGAACAACAGCAACAACAACCACAAAAATCATCAGACCGCATCGAGCTTTTACCGAGCACGATCATCAACATTTTCAAAAACAAAACAGAGAGGGTGAGAGCACAAAAAACAATCATAGATTTTGAATCCGGGTGACCGAATAAACAGCAGATAGTAGATGAATAGAATAGAACATGCTCAACCGGTGTGTATGAACTGACTGCAGTGATGCATTCCGAAGCGGTTGAATCAGCCTGACAGCTATGAACGGGCACTCCGAACCAAAGTGCACATATCACAAAAATTAAGCTTTCTTCGCAGGTTTCGGTACAGTATCCCCAAATTAAACTAGCTAGGCTAGCTATTTAATTCATAGTTAACTGTGTGTAGTGGTGTGCTGTCAGTCGCGCCTGGGTGACCCGTTTTCAATGAGCAAACTTGAACCGGCGACAATGACAAGTCCCGGAGTGAGATGTTGAACATACGTTCCATGCAAGGGGATCTGAAGTCAACAACCCGGATAGATCGACGGGTATGCACTAAGGATGAGCTCTGATTGGATCGCGCGAACTAAGTGTGGATAAAGTTCCCTTGACGATGGTTAATCCAATTGCACACTTTGTATACCACCACACTAATACCCTCAAATCAAAGTGATTTAAATGGGATATCATCTTGTTGAATGACATGCTTAATGCAAGTGGGGAAAAAACAAGGACAAATCAAATATAGAGATTACACTTCAACGGAAACGGAGATATGTGAAGGCAGCCACAATATAAGATCACAAAAAGGTGTACTAACCGGTTCGACCAATACCAGCGCTGCAATGAACAACGACCGGTGGGGGGGGAACGATCTGATCCATAAAACTGCTGTATCCGAGTTGTCGAATCGATTGGTTATAGGTATCCTGTACGGAAGAGAGCAACTGCTGCAGTCCGGTTGTGCTCAGTGGGACACCGTGATCAGGCCAGGAGAAATAGGCGAAATGTTCCACCGTACGACGTCGGCCGGACTATCAACCAACGTAAGAGAATGGAATAGGAATATAACTAATGCAACAGTGTGTTCTCCCATTCCCGCGCAAATCGTGACGGTCTAAGGTTAAAATCCAGCTCGACAGTGCCAAAGCTGACCAATGGTGAATATTCAGGCAACTATATGGACTATGGTGCCCTCGTGAATTAGACGTAATCGGACATGATAAAAAGGCTAACAAACACAAAGCTTGTGCCAAACACGAAGGAATGTTTGATGTTAAACGGTAAACGTTTAACATCAATTATTCTCCGAAACTGGAGGAACAGATCAGATGGATTTCAACACACCATCAAAACCAAACAAGAGAAATTCGGGGTATCAGAGCAGTCCCACGCGATATTGTCACAGAAAGACTATATTGAAATGAATCGAAACATTACGTTTCGAGAATGTGTTCAGTGCAGATTGGAAATGGAATAACGGTCTCGGGTGAACATTGTCTTAGTATCACTTGTAGATAGACCGTGGTAGTGACTATTAGGGCGGCTTGAGATGCGCTGCTTGTGTACATCTACATCAACCTCCTATGGCTCAGTTGAGCAAAAGGATGAATCTTTATCAAGACCACTAGAGGAAGGGGGGTTGGTTTGTGTACGCTGCCAGCGGTTGAACTGTTAGTACNATATGGCGAACAACAATGAACTTGACAAACAGATTTCTACATGCGGATTCGTCCAACTTCCAGTTTTTAATGTAAGCCACCACAAATATGTGTAGGCTGTCTCTCAGTAGCCCAACATAATTAGGTCAGGGACAAAACTAAACAAACAGAATAACCAGCAAAATCAGCTGATTGGGTTCAACGTAGAGAAAGAAGCTTGTGAAACTTGAAACGATTGAATAGCTTTGAAAGGTTATTTTGTTGTTGTTGGAATGATTATCAATGCGGGCGGGAGACAAAAAGATTCCGATGCAAGTGGCTTGATGTACGTCAATCTGGAGAATTCTAGTGAATCGTTCACCCACAGGTAATGTAATTCCGAAAATACGAGCATCTAGCAATACAG